TTCCTTCCTTCCTTCCTTCCTTCCTTCCTTCCTTCCTTCCTTCCTTCCTTCCTTCCTTCCTTCCTTCCTTCTTCATTCTCTATTCCTTTCTTCCTTCTTCATTCCCTATTCCTTCCATCCTTCCTTCTTCATCCCCTATTCCTTCCTTCCTTTCTTCCTTCCTTCATTCTCTATTTCTTCTTTCCTTCCTCATTCCCTATTCCTTCCTTCCTTCTTTCCTCATTCTCTATTCCTTCCTTCTTTTCTCATTCTCTATTCCTTCCTCCCTTTCTCTTTCCCTATTCCTTCCTTCTTTCTCATTGTCTATTCCTTTCTTCCTTCCTCATTCCCTATTCCTTCCTTCTTTCCTTATTCTCTATTCCTTCCTTCATTCCTCAATGCCAGTACTACAATGCTTTTCAACCTTGGCCACCTTAAGATGTGTGGACTTCAGCTCCCAGAATTCCTCAGCAATGGTCACACTGACTGGAGGACTCTGGAAGTCGAAGTCCAGCCAGACCTCTCCAGCAATGGGTATCTTTGAACTGTAGACCTCAACAAACTGATTTGGATTCATTAACCTATCCGGTGGACAAAAATATGTGGGATCGCACATCTGTTCACTTGGAAAGAGGCTGGACCACGATCTCCTGGGTAAGTGGGCTGAACGTTTCAGTCGAGAAACATCTCCTCCTCCATCTATTTTGCCAAGTTAGTGGTCAACACGTAAGCAGCCTCCCCTGCGAAAATTGGCCCAACACATGTCTGAGCATGATGGTCTAAGCTCTTTCCCCCACCCTCCATGCACTCAATGCCGCAAAGCATCCAAGTGTTGGAGACATGCTGGTGCCAGAACTTCATTAGTTGAGGCCTTCTCCTTCCTTCCTCTGGCTTCACATTTGAAGTGGTTGGCATAGCGTGTCTCGGCCAAGAAGAGATTGGCTGAGTCTTACAAATGTGGCTTTCTTAGGTCTTGTTGAAAGACCGTGGGCCACTCAACTACTGCCAGGGCATGTATTCCCTGGCAGAAGAGGATGATGGGGAAGGTTGGGACACTAAAATGTTCATGCTTCCAGCAAGGGCAACATTCTGAACAAGCTTTGCATCCGGAATCTTAGTTAGCACATATGTTGGAGCGCCTGTAACATTCCAAACTTTGGTTGGGCTGGCTAGAGGGTGGCAGTCCCATCACGGGGACTTTCATGTTCTATGTTCTACTGCTTCTTCTGCTGACCCTTTCCCAGGCTCCAGGGTGACCCCACCTGCATGCTGGTTGAAAACAAGATGGGGCTTTGCCTGTACAAAGGCCAACCCAGAAGCTGTCCTGACTCAGGTGGCTCCAGTCCTGGAGATTCATCCCTTCCTGCCGCTCCACCTTATAAGTTCTTTTGGTCTCCAACAGCCCAACTTCCCAACCAAATCTCGGCATTTTGGTTACATCACCCTGGAGCATTTGAAATACGACAGGATGAGCAGATCTTCCAAAATGACGTAGAATACTGTAGTCCCAGCCCATAAATGTTCATTGGACCTAAATTTTGCATCTCTGAAAGTCATATATGATCGAAGCATGGTGTTCCCGGGATCGCAGGTCTGCACGGATGGCTAGCTTTGAGTCAAGATGATTCATAGAAAGTCTAAGCATGGTGCCCCAAGAGTTTCTGGTCTGGATGAATGGTTAATTATGGGTCAAGGAAAATCATAAATGGATCTAAGTATGATGCCATCTAGATCCAGGTTCTGCATGGAAGGCTAGCTTTGAGTCAAGATGATTCATAGATGGTCTTAGTAGGATGCCATCAAGATCCCAGTTCTGCGTAGATGACTAATTTTGAGTAAGAAATAGATGGGTCTAAGTATGGTGTCCCACAAGTCTCCAGTCTGCATGAATGGCTAACTTTGGGTCAAAGAGAATCATATGGTGTCCCAAGGACTGAAATGGAAGAATTATGAGCTTGGGTTCCCCAAAAGCTCATCTCCCTGTCTCATCAATGCCACACCGATGCCTTTTCTCTACTCAAGAGCCTGAGACCTCAAGCTAGCCCAAGGCTCTACAACACAACGGAGGTGTAGCCACTTCCAACAGCGTGTTGCAAGCTCGTGTATTTGATTTGGCTGGAGGGCAAAAAAAAACCCGAGTCGAGAACGCAACGGGGGTCATGTCACTCATGTACGTACAGGTTGACAGATCTAGTCTTAACCCGAGAATCAGATCGGGACGCTCACATTCCCCATTTGGAAACGGTGTGTTCAGAAATCCCTAATAATATCTTTTTTTCCCCCTCCGACTTAAAAAAAAAGAAAGAAGAAGATTCACTTTCGTGGCTCAGTCAGCTCAAGAGCTTTTCTGGCAAATTAGCTGATGACTGGATTTGTTATTTTGCAGTATAATTCATGGAGATAAGCATGAAGACTTTCTTTTTCCTCAGTTCCTAAATGAGGGAATTATTTGTCAAATAGTACACCCTCCACATTCGCTCCCGAAAACAAAGCTTAGCCTGAAAATAGTATTTATGTTCTCCTCCACTACTTCCACGCAATAGACGCCAGCTAAGCTGGCATTCTGCCTCTGCTCGAATCTTAAAGAAATTGACTTTTTACTTATTATACTACTATTATTATTAGCGTTTTACTATATATTTGAGGGACGTGGGGGCTCAGTGGCTAAGATGCTGAGCTTGTCGATCAGTAAGGTTGGCAGTTCGGCGGTTTGAATCCCTAGCGCCGCGTAACGGAGTGAGCTCCCGTTACTTGTCCCAGCTTCTGCCAACCTTGAGAGACCACCTGCTGCCAATCACCTCCCACAGACCCATTAGATCTCACAGGGTTGGCCTCCTCCGGGTTCCGTCTACCAGCCAATGCCATCTGGCTA